CTCGTCACCTAAAAATAAAAATCCAGCAACGAGTTACTTAACTTTCCCGGCGACAATCGGTGGCGCCATCTGTTATCATATTTTATTTTTAAAACTATATATTTTTAACTATTCTGAAATGGCAAAAAGTTTAATTTTGAGAGTAAGGATAGGTTTAAAAAATAATAATGTTAATAATGAGTAAAATCGTTATGAAGTCTTATTCTACTGGAGATAAACACGACCCCCTTTATCTCCCCACTTCCTTAACCTTTAATAGCACCAATAGCCCTAATGAACAAACCTCTCTCAAAACTTTAGAAATTTTCGACAAAAAGCCCAAGAGTTATTAAGCTTCAAAGGGGGTGAACTCCCTATACACACACGCACAGATACACACACTAACAACCATACATACAAAAAACTCCCGAATTTTTTTTTTTTTTTTTTTTTGCATTTCTCGAAGATTCAAGATGTCCTGACTTCAAAAATATAAAAATCTTGGAGGAGTCATTTTTTGATCGATCGCTATACTTTTTCTCTATTATATATAACAGCAGGAAAAGATTAAAGAGCAGTGTAAATTTGATAAAATGTGTAAAAAAAAAAAGCAAAACAATACCTTCAGAAGGAAGCTTTTCTTTGCGTAGAAGCATCTACCAAAGGAAATTCCAATTGGAGTTTTTCCAAATCTTTTCATAAAATTCAAGATCTAAAATCGACATTTATGTTATATCGAAGTACTACAGTGATTTATGAAATTTCTAAGAATCGTTAGTAATTCCTCATACCTTTAACTTATATTCCAATGAATAGTTCAGAGACGAGAATCTATTAAAAGCGATGAAGTTACTGTAAAGCTAAACATAAAGAATTATTAGTAATCATAATATGAAACAATAAAAACGGTACGCATTTTTGTTAAAGTTACTGTACTTACTGCAGAAGTAAATTTTGACAATGCTACTGCAAATAATAACAATTGAACCAGCATTATCATTGTAAATATAGATAATCCAATCAAAAGATACGTGTTCAGTCTAAAGAAAGTACAAGTGATTATTAATGAGCAACACATGTACAAGGTGTAGCCATAGATAACAGCAATAAGATTTTCATATTTAGCATTTATGTGTTGAATGTAGGACCAGATGTGAGAATGCTTCCTGATAACAATTTCCAGTTCGTCTTTCACACGTTTTGATTCGATGCGAATGTTTTCAGAGTAATCGGATAAGTGTTCTAATCTCTTGTACAGTATTAATCCAAGAGCATAAGCCATGAGGCCACAACAATCCAAGCAGCTATTTAAAAATATTAAAAAGAAATGTCGTAAATGAGTAACACAGAATACATTCGGTGTAAGTTACATCATCGAATGTAGGATACAGAAAAATATCAATGCTCATTTTAATAATTATCATCGGAATGAAAGAAGAAATGAGTTGAGAATGACAATACGATTCTAGTTCATTCATTAAATCCTTTTCCTTGTGGTAAGAACTTTCATCGCTCGGAATTTCTAACTTTCTTCGTCTTATAACTCCAAAGAGGAAAGTGGTGTAGATACAAATTACTAGGATGCCGCTAATAATCATTTCCCTTCTCTCTGGAAAAATCAGGATCCAACTTCTGCAGAATGCATCTTTAGAATACAGCATAAACGAAATGTTTAAAATGGTGGAAATTAAAAATACTTCTAATACTGTCAGATAAAAACTGTACACTTTATCTTTATAAGTCTTCTTATGATTCTCACTTTGCAAAATGTTAATTCCGAATACTTTTAATGCGGAGTTTATTGGATAAAGAAGCATTCTAGCCGATGAATCTTCCGATTCTTCTATCGAATTTATCATTTCGTCATTTAATTCATTCATTTTTTATTAGAACTATTTCCAAAATTAGTATAAATGAAGGAGAAATGAATCAGTTACACGTCATTGTATAACTATACATTGTCATTCTTACAGACTGTGTTTCATATAATCATTCCGCTACGTATCTTTTATAGATTTCTTTACGTAACGATTTATTAATAATCAATAATGCGGTTATTTTAATTGCTAATGGAAAAGATGTTTGTATAGCGCGTAGTAAATGATAGCTTTCCATTAGTGAATGTAAGTCTGCCGTTTACTATGTAATATGCAAACCTCTGCAAGCAATAAATCTGAATACTTAATTAATTTAAGACACTAGATTCATCAAATTATTATAAAATTTTATAAATCTTAATTATGCAAAGAATTAATATCATTGGCATCTACGAAATTCTAATATACAGTAGACCCTCCTATTTTACAAATACGTGTGCCGGGCTGTGAACGGCTCACGTATTTGTAAAATCTAAGTGACTCGTACAACATGGAATTCGTATAAAACGGAATTATCAACAGTGTTATGGGGGGTCTACTGTAAATTAAAATATTTATATGTATAAGACTCGGGCGAACAAGTGACAGAAGTGATCGGCCTTCTGCTATGGGGGAACGGAGAACGAATCCGAGAGAAAAGTCTTCCCAGGAATTTTTCATCGGTGATTTGTCCCAGATATGTCAGGCTCATCCCTCACCTTCTGGCCATCTTCGTTATAGCATAGCCGAATCGAGAATTAATATGGAAAAATGTCCTATTAATGTTCATATGGAGAAAAGAATTAAAAATTAAATAAGTATATAAAATAAAACTTTTTCAATTTATTTAGGGTTGTATTTCATTGGTTTAATTTGTTTTTATTACATTTTTGCTTTGAGTGTATCGAGAGATCCTTTTCACCCTACTCATCATGGATTCGGCCAAGCTCACAATGGAGACGGCCGCGTAATGAGGAAAAAGGGTCTGACGTATCTAGAAGATATCGCCCACGAAAAATTTTCTTGGATCGTTGGCCTAAATTCGATTCCAAGTCTCCTAGAACGGTAGATTGACGTACGGTCACAAAAATAATTTCAATACAGCTCAAAATGAGAGTGGCTAGAAGGTGCAAAACAACATACTGAATTAAATGTATTGAAAAAAAAAACAAGATAATAATATTAATATAATATTTTTATCAAAAAAGTTTATATATATTTATTAATTTTGAAATTTTATTATTTCATCCGAAACTAAACTTTTAAATCGATGGATTTCATACAGTTTAGGTGGCAACACTTGAAAATTCAAAAATGGCGCTGTCACTGAAGGATCAGATACGTTCACTTATGTCTCAATTTCATTCGTCTCCAGAAAGTTCTTTGAATATTATGAAAGAGATTAACTTTCTCATGTCTTCAGTTCCTCAGTCTGACGTCAGTAATATTGTTCAGGAATATCAAATCGCGCCTTTAATTCGTTACGTCGTTCAAAATCCTCCAAGACAAAAGTAAGCCATTTTGTTTGTTTACATTATGTTTCGCCCATTTAAATTTATAATTTTTATGGTAATTCGTTATTTATTTTACAACAGAGATGATCAGGAAGCTGTAATCAACTTTTTATCAAAACTTTTGGATTCTATTTCTCCAAATATAGTTATAAAGCAGTTTACACCTGAGTTGATTCTTGCTCTTAATAGTGAACTGTTGGATGTTAAAGAAATGGCTCTGAAACAAGTAAGATTGTAAAATTAAACGTTTATTATCATTATATATTTTGACAGCTAGCATTTTAAGGTTTATTTGTAAAAAAATTTTGTTTGACTTTGTGCAATTGTTTATTTTTTGTGTCTCATCAAATATGGAAGATCGAAAGCGGCATTTTCGGCATATTTTGCTTTTTTATTATTAAAAAAATAAAAATGCCGTTCAAGCAAGAAAAAAATCATGTGACGTATGGTGGAGATGTGTTGACAGAACGACAGTGCCAAAACTGGTTTAAAAAATTTCGTTCTGGCAATTTCAGTATTGAAGATGCACCACGTTATGGATGGCCAATCGAAGCCAATGAAAACAAAATAAAAGGTACCGATTGAAGCAAACTGCCGAATAACAACACGGGGAATCACTAAGAGATTAAATTTGTCAAATTGAACTGTTTATGATTACTTGAAACAAATTGGTTTCGTTTGAAAGCTCGATATATGATTTCCACGTGTTCTTAAGGAGAAATGCTATCTTCAGTGGAATTTAAAAAAAAAATTTTTTTTTGGAGCTATTACCAGACAATTTAACAATTTATTCGAAAATGTACTGCCATCGAATAAACAAATTGAGTAATATCATTTAAGCAGAAAAGGTGGCCAGAATTGATCAACAAAACAGGTGTAGTGTTTTACCACGATAATGTCAAATTTCACACAAGTTTGTTAACTCGTCAGAAACTGTTATAACTTAGATGAGACCTGCTAGCACTGACCATATTTGCCAGACTGAGCACTCTCAGATTATTACTTGTTCCTGTCTATACAAATTTTTTTTTAACTGTAAGACATTTACTTGAAATGACAATGTCAAAAATCACTTGGATCGGTTTTTTTGTAAGCAACAATCAAAACTTTTATGAATATGAAATCATGCTATTACCAGAAACGATGACAAGAAATATTTGATCAAAATGGTCGATAAATAATTCAACAAAATATTTATTTATTATAAAAATATTGTGTTGTTTTCAACGGAAAAAAAAACGAAATTACTTTCCGAACAACCCAATACTACAAGATGCTTTCACTACTGGGTAGTGAAAGCATCTTGCTGCTCTCGGATATTGGGTTTGTAGGGGCTGGATCTTGCATTGACTTTGCATTGTGTCGGCATTGGAGCTTGGGCCAAATTTTGGGCTCCAGGATGAGGACTTGCCGTTGTTAGAACTCAAAAAAGTGAGAAGTGGTGTCATCAATGTCTAGCTGCCCACTGTCATGTAGCCAAAACTCCAACTAATGCAATCCAGGAAATGCTTTTTGCAGTGGAAGACCATTTGGGCCGCCCGACGGCAATCAATTATGCTCTGTAACTATCTGTTGTAAATATCACTTGGTTATGTCAGAAAATCCAGATAGGGATACAACTTTTTGTTTAAACCTTGTGTGCTTACCTATCTTTGGGTGGTTATGCTTAGTGGAGCTTGTGTTCTATGCTGCTGAACTCTGCTCCTTCATCACCAAAAGTACAAGCTCACTGCTTCCTCTATTACATCTCTCTGTATACTGTATATGCCATACAGTGCTATGGATTTGTATACAGAATCAAAAGTGGGATCCAACAAGCTAGTTGGGCCCTAGTTTTGAAAAAAGTTGGGGGCACAAATGCAGCTCTGAATGAGACAGTTGGGACCACATCAGAACTGTAGATCATGCTCATAAAAGAAGTCTAGGAAATCCTTGATAAATTTTGAAGACCACAAAAATGGGATAAAATTTAAAAGTGACAAAGTTAAAATCCGTTTTTTGAAACAATGCTAAAAATCAACCGTTTTCCAATTTACTAGAGATGGCTAATAGATGTGAGAAACACCACTGCTTCAGCTACTTCTGTGGCAACATTGGAGTTTTGTTGTGAACTTTGTTAGCCCTATTGCATGTTTAACAAACTAATTCCTGGAGAGTTACATCTCACAATGGCCTACGGCTCTGATAAGGTCCCAACTACCTCATTTGGAACTTTAATTTTACTACAAAATTAAGTATTTATTAAATCTTGGTTGCTTGCTGTTCTCTTTACTATATATATTTTCTTATCATAATGTTGCTGTTGAGAGCAAATCACACAGGAACACTTTCAGTGGAGAAAGGTTGGTTTATTGGTAGGAATGGATATACATTTCGGGCTTAATGCCCCTCTTTAGTCCTATTATAACAGATTTATCAGTAAGTTGATTACAGATTTATCGAATGCATTGAAATATTTAGGATAAGTGTACAGTGGTTTATACAATAAAGTTTAATTACCTGAGATTATAGTGACAGTTAAAACAACACGGCTCGTAAGAAGACAGAGTTGAAAAAAGGGAGTAAAATGGAGCTAAAATTCTTTTAGCTTCACCCTTATGCACATTAGAACAGTATAACAACATGTGCTAGAATAAAAAGGGGTAAACTTAAATCTAAAATTAAGTACATAATTAAGAGGTGAAATTTTTATAAAATTAATAACGGAATACCTGTAGGGTGCAAAATAATTCTGATGAGATTTACAGAAAAACATGGATTAGAAACGAGCGGTTAAAAAAATGTGAGTATTTCCTGCATTGTACACTGAATGTTTGGTGTGTTGACTTACACGGTGGGATACGATAGGAAGAGGGAGGTAGTACATCTAATGGGCTTTGCTACTTAGTTAGGAATGGTTGCCAGATGACATTGATGACTGCACCTGTATTTAGGTTCATTCCCCTTTTTTCAACTATGTTTTCTTACGAGTTGAATTGTTATAACTGTCACTATAATCTCAGGTAATTAAATTATATTGTATAAACATTGTACAAACAATTTTTGAATTTAATAAAACAAATTTTGAATTTTGTTAGTTATAAGTTTGCCATATCTACTTATATTGGCAATTATAATTGTCAGTGTTCATGACGTGTTGGGGCTTTGCATTAACAAATTAATGAATCAGTCAATTTAATTATGTAGTTGAAATTTTATATCATGTTTAATTTCATTTCTATTATATGTATTTACATATTCTTATATATTTTCATAGGTGAAAAGATGCTTGACAGATAATATTGCAACTTCTATCATGATTCAAAATATGGATCTGTTATGCTGCGTGGCTCGCCTAATAGGAGATGACATGTGCTTGGCAAAATTAAGTACCATTATATTGTCGACATTAGGAAAAGATTTAGATGCTCTTCCAATTATTTTTTCTCCTAGAGTCAATAGCGAGTTCCAAAATTTGCTTGGTAAAGGTGACGTGATACGTTTCAGAGTTTACGAGGTAGGTTTACATAATGTGTTTTAGAGTTTCTGTATAAATATAAAAGTTTATTCATTTATGATGATTTTTTTATACACTTGGAAATCATATTGAACTTTGAAAGTGATTTTATAGTTTTAATGCAACAAAAATAACATAAGGAAGTATTTAAGAAGAACCTAATATTGAGATCAACAAGAATTTATTTACATATAATTAGGTTTCTGAAGACAAAGTCTGCCCAGAAAGGGACCATCATTTATTTATCTTGTGTTTCCAGACTACACACTTTCTTGGAGACTGACCTTTCTTTTTAGGCTACTGGTTGCCAGAAATTGAAAAGTCCTTTTAAAAAACACAATAAATATATCCAAATTAAAATTAAAAGAATTCCTAAAAAAGGAACTGGTGACATACAGATGTCTTCCTTGCTTCCATTTATACCTTCTTGGAGTGTTATAGCTTTTATCTATTGGAGATGAGTGCTGGAAAATGTAGATTTAAAAAAGAATTTAAAAATTTTTATATATAATTATTAAATTTAGCTGTTATGGACTAGTCACACACCAAAAAAATCTTTATTACCTAATTTAAATTCCAGTATGTATTTTGGCCTTTACAATAACCCTCTTTGGCAAGTCTGAGATTTTTTCAAGAACTTAACAATAGATAGGTTGACACTTACTCTGCTGATCACCTTTGGCATTAAGTTTATAATCAACATAGACAACAGTAATAAAATAAAACTCTAAAATACCTATAAAATTCCATTATGTAAAATGTTTTTTCTTTTTCTTCATTTTTCTTATTACTTGTTGATAAAACAACTTAATGTCAAAGGTGAATGGCAGAGTAAGTGTCAACATATCTATTGTCATGTTTTTGAAGAAAAAAATCAGATTGCTGAAGGGCAAATTGTATATTGTAAAGGGCAAAATGTATACTGGGATTTAAAGTAGTTAATAAAGATTTTTGTGGTGTGTGATTAGTTCATATCTAATGGTTATAATAGCCAAATTTAATAGCATATGAACATGTACATTTACAAAAGCATAAGACCTAATTTATTTAAAATATATTTTTTATATTGGTGAGAGATAGTAAAAAAGTTCAGATAAATATATCTATTTTCAAGTAATTTAATTTCATTTTTAAAACATTTGAAGAATAATTTTAAACAAGAATGCATCAAATAATTACAGTAGAGCGTCGTTTATCCGAAAGAATTCCAGTCGGGAAATTTAAATTTTCGCTAGTGCTGTGGCACTGCAATCTTTGGCTATATCTTGGGCTACTCCAATATTTTTTATGTTTGTGTATGTGTTTTAGCTGGCAGCACTGTCACTTTTTGTGTGATGTTTTTCTGAGGACTGTATTATGCTGAATCGAACGTTTTTGATACTAGATCAACTTTTAAAGTATAATTTTTTTGTTTTATATTTTTCAATATATTTATTTCGTTTGTAAAAAATAAAGAAATAAATTTTAACGATACAATAGCCACAATTATTATTTTAAAAAGTTTACATTAGGCTTAACATTGACGAAAATTCAACGCGAAGCGACGCAACGGAGAAAAATTTCAACATGGGATAGAAAAATATATTTTTTCGTACATAATCGGTTATCCGAAAAATAAGTTATTCGAACAACCCCAGTCCCAATTGAGTCGGATAAATGACGCTCTCCTGTATTTATAACTTTTAAAATACAGTAGAGAGTCAAATTATGTAGTTTTGTTGAGTACATGACAGTTTTGATGCAACATGCACAATATAATACAACAGCTTCAATGCGTAACAGTTAACTGTTGCTGTTTTCATTCAGTTGTAGTCTGAAAAGAAATTTAAGCTTGTTTAAATTCATTAAGTTTAAAACCAAAAACATACAATAAAACTTTAGGATCCAAGTTTTTAAACGTGTTTTATCCTGTATATTTATCATGTATACATCCAAAGTTATTAACATTTGAAATTGCATGTGGACTTCATAAACATTTTGTTTCATTTTTTACCAGAATTAAATTATTTCCAACATTATAATAAATTATTTTCTTATTGGAAATATTACTGTATCTATCTGTATTTAAGCAACTAATATTGTTTAAATATAAATAAATTTTTGAGATCATTAAAGGTGATATGTTAACCAGGTCAAAAAAATTAGCATTTCTCTAACCTTATCCACTGTCTAAGATGTGTTTTTTCCTTCATTAAGGTAGAAGCAATAATGTGTGGAAAATTGACTCTCATTTATTAAAAGCTATCTTTGTGATAAATTAATAAACTTTTCTACAATTTTGTCATTTTTTTTGTTAGGGTATTAATAATTAAAAATGCTTATGTTAAAGAATCTCAGATATAAATATGAATGGGATTGAACTTCACCCAGATCAATAGATAAGCAAGAAACAAGAAAATTATCATCCAGGTGTTAAACTATGTATAAAGAAGAAGAAGACAAAAATAGTTTTGTCAAAAGCGCTAGTAATTTATAGTGATATTTATATGTAGTTTAATGCCTGGATGATAATTTTCTCATTTGTATCATAGTATTCATTTGATAATTTTCTCATTTGCTAATCTCAGATACTTTTATTTTAGTTGGTAATCATTGGAAAATATTTCAAGGATTGCTTTCTGTTTGCAAATTATATAATTTTATACATTCTTACAAAATTATAATTCATTATAACAACATAATACACGAAAAAATTGATCCAAACTGTTTTAAGCACATTAATTTTTGATTATATAAGATACAGCAATCTTTTAAAAATCCATATTTTACAATGTTGTTATTAATAAATTTCTTAAGTACTTATTTTCTGTCTACACCATACTTCCTCAGCTCTAAGATTCACTTTTTTTTTTATCCATGTTTACTTATCCAAAAGGGACACATTCTACATTTGTAGTCTGAAACAACAATTAGCAGTTGTTGCAAGTAGATCAAGGGTATATTATGCACCAATAACAGATATTTTTGATATACCACTCAATGAGTTTTGCTAATAACAAGCATTTAATTTAAGTTCCTTTCATAAACATTAAAATGCCTTTACAACATGATTCAGCATTAAAAAATCAAAATTGTTGTATCAGCAGAAGAACAGGGAACCAAAGATGCCAAATGTTACCAATTTTATGGCATTTTTATTGTTTTTATAATTAGTTGTTACTTAACAAAATGTAATAAAATTGATTTTAAAGTTTTTCACTTCACAAAAATGTCTTAAAATTCAATTTTGAAATTATGGTGCATCTTACATTTAAAGATTTACAGTAATTATCTTCATTTTTCCATGAGCTTATGCATCATCTGTATCATAAAACTCCAGGATTTGCCTTTCTTTCCCACTTCAATGTATCAAGTTACAAGAAAGTTATATCAATGCTGCGAATGTATTAATATTTTTGAGGGATGACCTTTAAAGACATTAATAATAATTCTCAAGGATAATAAATTTTCATTTTTACATTTGTCGTCTTTCCATAATTAACTTCAAAATATATAACTAAATTTTAGATCAGTGTTTCACACAATTTGCTTACTCTGATAATTCTTATTTTTAAGACATGGCAGTTAAATCTTGACAGTTCTCAAGAATGTGGTATAAAATCTCTTGCTGATTTAAATGAAGAATTAGGGGGAAAAATGTGAGCTAGATTATTTATAGACCATAAATGCTTTCAAGCTTTAGACATGTATAAACATAAATATACATATACATACATACATACATACATACATAAATATAGAGGCAGTCAAAACGTTTATGGATTGTGGAATAGAACTAATGGTAGGATATGGAAATGCTTACCTAATGATTTTCAAAGTAGAACCATTTAGCGCACATACATATTCTCCATTGATCCTGCCATTGTTGAAAGCACCATTGGAAGGCTTCTTTTGGAATATTCAGAAGTTTGACCATTAAGTTTAATTTGATATCCTTCATGGTTGTGAAACGTGTTCTCTTACTAGTTTCTATGTGCAATTTGTGCATAGTTTTAAGATGCAGTTTGGCATAAATGGTGCAACAAGTGGCAGGAAGAATGGTTTCTGCATCACAATAATACACTGAGACACTCATCATCTGTTCTGCATCAATTCCTTGCTGACAAAAGACCTCCTGTCATTGCCCAACCTTCATACTCACCAGATCTCCTTTTCGAGTTATTTTTGGGTGTTCCCAATGCTGAAAGTAAGACTCAAGGAGACACATTTTGCAACTATGAAGGACATCAAATCGATTGTGATATCTAAACTCTTAAATATTCCAAAAGAAGTCTCCCAGTGGTAGGATCGATGGAGCAAGTGTGTATTTGCTGAAGTATCCTACTTTCAATCAGCAAAAAATATAATTAAAAAGTACTAAAATAATAAAATTCAATATTAATTTTTAATTTTTTTATTACAGGTTTTTGTAAAAATT